GATCGAATGAGGCAACTGAGAAGGGAGAGATTACTAAGAAAGAGAGTAGAGAGGGCTCTGGTAAAACGGAAAAGGATTAATTCGGCATTTAAAAAAAAACACAATTTGATTAATCTAAAGTTTAAAAAAATCTTCAACACAGACCAAATTAGAGCACTTGGGCAATCAAAAAAAGGTGGGATACGGTGGGGGAAAGAAACCGTGAAAAAAGCAAAACAACTAAGGTTCTGTTGTGGCACTACAGGATATAAAACCCTCCAAGCCATGAATATGCCTCTGCCTGACATCAGGACCATTCAGAGGAGGATGCAGCACGTCAAACTGGAGCCAGGAGTGTTGGGGGAGGTGTTTGATATGCTGAGGCTGAAGGCAGATGGCATGAGTGAGATGGAGCAGAAATGTGTGCTCACCTTGGATGAGATGTCCATCACCCCTAGCGTGGAGCTGCATCTGGGAACAGGGAGGCTGTTTGGGAACACAACACTACCTGGCCACAAAGGCCAGGCCACTCATGCCTTAGTGTTCATGCTGGCTGGTGCTACACTGTAGTGGCTTACCACTACAGTGGTAATTCTACTGACGGTGCATAATACTCACCATCGTTGAAGCAGCGGCATCTATAGGGCTTCATGTGGTTAACATCACTACTGATATGGGGAGCCCCAATAGGGCTATGTGGAAGTCCTTTGGGGTGACATATGACAAGCCGTGGACAGCACATCCTGTGAAGCCACACCAGCACCTGTACTTCATGCCTGATGTTCCACACCTGGTGAAGAATTTAAAGAGTGCCTTGGTGAATGGTCACGTCATCACCATACCACAGGATGTGGTGGACAAAGAGAAGCTGCCGTCCAGTGTGGTGTCTGTTGGCCCCCTGAAGGATCTGGTGTCATACCAAGAGGGAATGGCCCTAAAACTGGCACCTAAGCTGTCTAGAGGCGTCCTGGAGCCTAGTCATTTTGAGAAAATGAAGGTCAGTTCAGCAATGCACGTCTTCTCCAAGTCATCGAGTGCTGCCCTGAGGTACATGGTGGCAGAGGAGCACAGACCAGAGTCCTACCTTACCACTGCGTGGTTTTTGGAGACGGTGGACCACTGGTTTGACCTCATGTCGTCACGCAACACTGTTACTGCCCTAAGTCATTTCAAGATGGAGGAGTATGATAAGGCCATCAGCTTTCTCCGGGACTCCATCCATCTGTTTCGGGGCCTGAAGATCGGTCCCAAGGGCAGCTGGAAACCAGTCCAGACAGGACTGGTGATGGCCACAACAACAAAAATGTGGAAATAATACCATAAACAAAATGTTACCTCTCATTTATCATATATGAAGAATTCATTTTCAAACATTGATTAAAGCCAATCTTAAAATGATTAAACAAACACGTTTGAGACTCCTCAGTGCACACAAAAACATAACTTGGAGAAATAAATAAATATGGATATGTTATTTAAAACCACCTCGAATATGTTGTGTTAATGTTATGAAATGTTTTCTCATAAATGATGCGGTAAGCAGAAGGACAGAATTACGTCTAAACTGACGCCGTTTTGCATTTCTATAGATTGTATGAGCATGGTTTTATATAGCCTACTATCATGTTTAATCATGTTTTATGCCGTTTGCTAAGACTTGATAAGTCGCTCATAAAACACAGGAGGTATGAAACTAAGAACACCATATGTGGTAAATTGTACAGCTAATATAACACAACACATTAGTTGTATTTCCTTTAACTGGTGGATATAGAGTTGCTGCAGAGGAGACGCTGCGCACAGCTGATCGACAGCTGGAACACAAACCACCAAATACGAAAACATAATTCAGATGCAGTCGTCATGACTCCACTCCGGAGGGATTCCCCGATCATTTCTTACAGTCTCTCATCAAGGGGGGTCTCCTGTCCCCGGTTCAAACACACTAGGCTTGTTTGAGACAAGCGAGACCTGCGCAGACCTGCGCAATTTCGATCAACGTCTTGCTCGTACATTGCATGATGGTTAGTCATTTTGTCCGACTTGCTCTGGAGGCCCGCCTACATGAGACGTTGAAATCTCGCGGGACAAAGACGCCCGCAGCCTTGAGAGCGAGGCGCGGCGAGGCGGAGCAGTTCCTCTCCACGGGCTGCGGAAGCGAAATGCTTGATGGGAAACGACTCGCTAGTATCTCGAGCTGAGCGCTCATTGGTGTTTTTTACCACGTGCTGCTGATGAAACTCTCCAATTGGCTCGGCAAAAGTTTGTTGTTGTTTTGTGTCAGTTTTACGTCGCCACTTCCATTCACATTTTTCCTCATTGTTCCACAATGTTTATCATCATGAAATTAATATCCATATATTTTATACTATACTTGCACTGCTTACCGTTTTCATACTTTATATATCTTAGCATATTCATACACACTGTTCATACTGCTCACAGGCTGCAATAACAATAAAGTAGAATCTAATCTTGAGCAGGAACAAATGTATTTACTTAGTACATATCTGACATTAACGATTAAACACATGTGTGCATTCTTTATAAATGCAAACCGAGTCAAGCCGACTCCGGAGGTGGCGGTATGCACCTTAAAGTTGTTTGCAATCCGCCAAAAAACCGAGAGAAGAAGAAGAAGAAGCCGACTCTGGGCCCTTCTCACTTCTCTTATTTTTCATTTCCTTGCTCCTCAATCGCGGTCTCACCGGAAGTTGATTTGTCTGCGTCATCTTGAGTAGCGTCCCAATGGCCTTATTTTTGCTGGAGGAGCGAGGAGCGATAATGGAGGAGCTATAACCGAGGAACCACCATACCATCCTTCGATGAAATCCTCAGACACTCGCCCCGCCCCCTTACTGTGTATCGCTCACTGATTGGACGATGCAGTGCATGCACTGATCTGATGCTTCTTGACATGAGAGCAGTTTCCCAGCGGAGTGAAGAAAATAAATGAACCTCACGAGACTCACTCCTCAGTTTATACTGTGTTTTGTTTCAATTAATGTATCATTTAGTTACAAATATGTGATATATCTGAACAACAAAGTGGTCACAAATCATTTTATTCATTTTTTGAAACATTTTCATGATCGCTTTTTTCGTTTTACATTTTCATTTATTGTCATTTCCATTCAGTCAGTCATTAAGTGCTATTAAAATGTTAATTTGCTACATATCCACACAAACAATCAAACAAAGTGTGCAATCCAATGAATGTTAATCTAACTGGGTTTTGATAGATAATATATCTCTTTTTCTTCTCTCAATTATTTTATTTCTATTGTGCACTCTAATCAATATTAATCCAACTAATGTTCGTTTATACATTTTAAGAATGGCGTTTATCTTTTTTGCAAATGAGTTCTTATTTTATTTTATTTATTTGGGTCTACAACAGATGATACAAATGTTTGTGTCAGTAAATGTGTACTAACAGAGGCGGGGGTGTGTGTGGAAATAACGGGGACAGAGCTGCTGTCAGACGATCAGCTGTGCGGCGTCATCACAAACGGACGTCGCTTCACGTGACGCTCCGGAGGAAAGGACGTCCCATTGCTCTTAAAATTCCCCTGCTTCTCGTGGTTTCCTTGCGTCTCTCCATGCTTCCCTGGTGGGAGGGACTAGTCGCAGGGAAACGACACAAGTGAGGGACGCAAGGAATCAATTTAACCGAAGTGAGAAGGACCCTCTGAGCTGTCCGACTTCAGGCGAGCTTTCTGAGACCTCCCCCGGCTGCGATCGGCTATTCTCGTCTACTTTCGAGGCGAGCCGCAACGCGTCTCAAACAAGCCTTATGTGTATTTTTTTTGTCATTAACCTTTTTCGGACCACTTATTATTTTATTTTGGTGAGGATCCGACCTCCATGCTGCTACTCTGGTTCAAACGGCATCCACCAAACAATATGATTTATCTCGACCTCCCCAAAATAACCAGAATCTGACACGGTGTGAGATGTATTTTTTAGCTGTTCTGTTGTCATTTCCTGCGATCTTCTTCATAAAGTCAGTCAGAATGAATGAATGGGCGTTTCTTTGACTATTTATAGGCAAATATGGGCGTTAAGTGAAGCCCGCAAAAGCTGCACCGCATTTCGAGTCGATTGTGATTTATAAAGGGAAACCGGTGTAGGAAGTGCTGTACGCACTTTGCTCGCCGGTACGCAATGTTTGGTGAATCGGAAAATGTCGGAACATTTCTGTACCTATTTTTTGGATTTCTACTACGTAAGCAACCTTCCCACGTGAATCCTACGCACCGCGTTATAAATGAGGCCCCAGAACAGGTGTGTGTGTGTGTGTGTGTGTGTGTGTGTGTGTGTGTGTGTGTGTGTGTGTGTGTGTGTGTGTGTGTGTGGTGTGTGTGTGTGTGTGTGTGTGTGGTGTGTGTGTGTGTGTGTGTGTGTGTGTGTGTGTGTGTGTGTATGTGTGTTGTGTGTGTGTGTGTGTGTGTGTGTGTGTGTGTGTGTGTGTGTGTGTGTGTGTTAGCAGACAGCTGAGGGTGAGCAAGAGGGGGGAGACTCCTGGTGGAGGTCAGTGAGATAGGTAGGGGCGAGGTCAGGTAGGGGTGGTATATGTGGGTAAGATGTTTTTGTATTCGAGCCGGTATTGAACAGGGAGCCAGTGCAGTTGGAAGAGGAGGGGGTGATGTGGTCAGACTTGGTGCAAGCTCTAGAGTTCTAGAATCATCTGGAGCTTGTTGAGGAGTTTGGTGGGAAGAGAGGACCGCATTGCAGTAGTCCAGCCAGGAAGTGACACATGCATTGACCAAGATTTCTTTGCTGGATTCAGAAAGGGGTAAAGGCAGAATCTATAGCTCCAGCCCCCATGTCTCCACAGAAACACCACCATCTGCCTCTCTATTGCATCCGGGTGATGTAGTTGGGGCATCAGGGCCTGCTCAACCAGATTAAATACCCTTTACCAAGAGCAAAATACATCTCCTGAATCCATTTGTCAAAACAATGCAGCTTTATGTCAAACAAAAATGGACAAACAATTTGCATTGCAATGACGTGTTTACACTACTTTATTTTAAATGTAAATCTTGACAAATGCAATGCATAACTGGGAGTTCAGTCTTTAAACTCACAAAATCCGAATTCTGAGATTAAACTCTTACCAAAAGTGAGAGTTTCAACTAAACTCAGAATTCTAAACAAAAAGGTCAGAATTCAGTTCCAGGTGATAGGAAAGTCTGCATTCCCCTCTCCAGCATCACTCCCTCTCACAGACGATCTTTGATGCATGCCTCGTCATCTTTCCACATTGCGCGTACTGATGATGTCAGCAGCAGGCGACGGGACAGCCTATGGTCGGCAGCAGGTTTACAGAGATGGCTGCGGGCATGGAGCGGAGCCGCGGCGGCGGAGCTGGGTGTACCCGGACAGGGAAGAGCTGGTGGCGGCTCGCGGTGCTCCTGCTCTCCGTGAGCTCCCTGCCGGCGGCCTCCGGGCTGGTGGACGGCCTGTACTGCGGCACCGAGATCTGCTACGATGTGCTCGGAGTCTCCCGGGAGGCCGTCAAGTTGGATATCGCCCGGGCTTACCGGCAGCTGGCCCGCCGGTACCATCCGGACCGGTTCAGGCCCGGAGAGCCCGGCTATGAGGGAGAGACCCGGGAGTCCGCCCACACGAAGTTCCTGCTCATCGCCACCGCGTACGAGACGCTGAAGGTGGGTCAGTCTCAGAGAGGGTGTCCCTTCAGAGGACACTGTCATGTCCAGCAGCGAGCTTTGAGACGTGGTGTTTCTCAATGTTGAGTAAAGCTGCTGCAGAGCCACTATTTCAAGTATATTACGTCATCGAGTGGGGCCGAAGGACTGTTTAAATGCCCAGCATACATGTGCTACCAAGCAAGCCTCCTCCTCGACATTGAGAAACGGCCTATGTGTGACTCTGTGTTTCATATCCTTATTACTTCTCCTTTCCTGAAACGTGTCCTTATGGCACCAGAGTAGAGGTAGACCACCTTCTCCTTCCCAGCTTACATTGTACTCCTGTAGGGATTCATGTGTGTTTACTGTACATAATATAATATCATGAGGGACTTTACACTCTATGTATGGACAGATGTTGCCTCTATAAATGTACTCATAGTATGTCTTCTTATATTGATATGATTTGAATGCCATATGGCAGCACACTGTAAGTAGAGGAAGTGTGGTGTTAGTGTTTTATTATGTTGTAGAGACCCTGTTTCTTTCCTGTACCTTGGCTGTTTATTTACTCATTAATATAGTCTTCTCTTTATCTCTCTCTCTCTCTTCTCTCTCTCTCTTCTATCCTCTCTCTCTCTCTCTCTCTATCTCTATATCTCTCTCATCTCTCCTCTTCTCTCTCTCTCGCTATCTCTCTCTCTCTCTCTATTCTCTCTCTCTCTCTCCTCTCTCTCTCTCTCTCATATATATATCAGTGATTCCTGCAGAAATGAAATATACTTTGGGGGAACGACCGGGGGGGGGGGGTTGATTTGCGGGGGTGCGTGCCCCCCCCCCTCAAGTTCACACCTTTTTAGGGGCGGGGCTAGTGATGTTGTCCCGGGGATGCTTAGGAGTTGATAAAGGAGATAATCCCACTGACGTCATCATTTGATTCCAAAAGTGGGTCTGGACTCGCGCCCATAGAGGCTGTTTACCAGTATAATGGCTCCCCCCAAAGTATAATTTATGGTTTTTTAAGTTTTTTTACTCACTGAGCACTCATTGCCACCAATGCAAATGCAAATGAGTGCTCACTGAGTAAAAAAAAACAAAAAACACACAAATTATACTTTGGGGGGAGCCATTATACTTTGGGGGCCCCCCAAAGTATTAACATGCTGTGGGAATCACTGTATATATAGCAACACGTCATGTTTGTTTACACGCAAAATCAATAGCGCGAAAAGGGGTGGGGTCAATATGACCCGCTGGGCACAAATAGGTATTGACACATTTTAACAACATAGGGTGCAACATAACACACTTTCAGGAAAAGTCACTGACTGGGACTCTTTAATATTTTGAAAAAAAAGTTACATACAATAAAAAACAGCTCTGGGTCAAATTGACCCGATTGGCAGTTCTAGTGTTAAATATAAGTTAAATGCATCAACCTGGTGCACTTTGAGAGCAAAATGAATGTATGGATACATCCATAATGAAACAGAACTGTAAACAGATTTTCTTTTTCTTTATGGATATTTTGCAAATCACACACCGTTTAACTGTCATATAGTATTTCATAACTGTTTTTTATTTATTCTCATAAATGGTGACCAAACCGTTTGAGACGCACTGAGATAACTAGACTAAAGTGAACTATCTAAACAGAGAGTCCCTTACCTCACTGAGCTGTAGTTATCTCTCTCAGTCTGACAGGACAGAGCTCTCCCTCTCCTTGTTTTAGAAACAGCTTTAAATAACCGTTAGCGCAGCTAGCTAACCAGATGCTAACAACAACAATGCAAATAGTGAGTTTGGTAGAAATAAACTGTATAATAGTAAAGTTATTTAAGATGATGCCATATTTATTTAAGATTTTACATTATAAATATTCCCCAAAATTATTCAAAAGCATATTCTTCCAAACTCCTTGCTGTAGTAGGACACACAGGAGACTATTGATGTGTGTGGTGAGTTTGGTAGTAATAAGCTGTATAATAGTGATTGCATATTATTGTATTCTCTTTTTTCGGAGTTGCACTTTGCAGACGGTCCCTGAGCACTCGTTTCTTCTCCGGCTGCAGATAGAGACCAATGTAATGTGTCCAGCTCGGAGGACAGCACGTATTGGCTTTTTTTTAATCAAAATGTGATAGTCGGGATGCACGATATTGTTTTTTTGAAACCGATAACTTCCTGCTTCTCAAGACCGATACCGATAACCGATAATAACAATTTTTTTTACGCCACTAATTATTTAAACGCGATTAACGCATGTGTATTTTTTTTCCTCGGCCGCCCCGTAGTTTCAGAGCGCATCGAGTTTAAAATACCATCTACAAGCTGATGCTGACAGCCCCGCTCCTGCTGCCCGCTTGTGGCAGACCACACTTCCACTCTCACCGGCAGGCACCGACTGGCTGTTGGGAGGACCGGGAGGGTGTGTGTATGTGTGGCCCGAGCGAGCGAGAGAGAGACCTTATGTGCATTGTTGTTGTTAGCATCTGGTGCTAGCTAGCTGCGCTAACGGATATACGGAGCTGTTTCAATGAAAACAGAGGAGCGACATTTTGCCACAACTGCGCCGAGCACTTGACTTTATGCAGGAAGCCAGACAGTGGGACATTGTTCGAAAAGTCAGCACGGATAGTGCGCGCAACATGATTGCAGTGTCCAGGCAGCTCCGGTTCGAGCATATGCCTTGAGTTGCACATAGCTCCAACGCCCATACCACCGACGACATGTTTGTTTACTGTCCTGGCTTCACGCACACCATTTACGTCACAGCCAGGCATGAGTTAGGGAGCGCTGGATTTGTGAAGAACTCCCCTCTTCCTAAACCACTAATACCACAGTACTGGCAAAACGGGAGGAGCCGAGTGAAAAACAAGCGCCCCTCATCCCAATCAACCCACACCGCAGTATTTTTTTCTTTTTTTTTACCCAAAAAATATATTGTATATTATCGGGGCTATTAATACTGGTATCGGGTTTATCGGGATGACGTCATAATTCCTAATATCGGGCCGATAATTATCGTGCATCCCTATGTGATAGTAGTTTGTTGTCAACCTTACCACGGTACTTAGGAGATGTCATTTGTGTCAGAATAACGTTTTGTTATTGATCCATGAAATCAGAATCTCCCAATATCGTTCCAACTTTACTGAACTACGCCGGAAGACCGTCTCATTTCGTAGACCGCTCGGTTTGCTGTTCCTTCACTTCATTTTTATATTTATATACATTTATTGTGGACGACAACTTAGCGTGAGGAAAGGCAAGTGTGGCGTGAGTGTGTGAGATATGGGTTAATTGAGTGACTCTCAAGCTCAATGCATGAGTGTTGGCAGCCCTGGTATATATTTCTATATAAATGCACTTTCATTATGTTGAAGTTTCATAGTATGTTTACATCTTTTTGTGCTCATTGTAGTTTTTCGTAATTTTCAAGACACACTGGTCCTTGGCCAGGACTAGGTGACGTGTGAAGGTAGGAGAAGCTCAGTGTAATGATGGAGGTAGTGATGGATGTAGAGATGATCCGATCACGTGATCGGGGATCAGAGCCGATCACGTGATTTTCAAAAGATCGGAATCGGGAGAAAAAAATCGGGGATCAGGAATTTTTTATTATTTTATTTAATGTTACAAAACAAAAATGACCATGTTCACGTCTTAAAGTCATCCTGAGGCCTCAGTTTTGGTTTAAAATGACACAACATCATGTATGTGTTGCTTCTCTTGGGCTTGTTTTCAGACCTGGTTGCTTATTTCTCTCAAACCTGGCAACAGAGTGGGCGCAGTGTCTAATAGTAGCAGTAAGCTAACGAGAGGCTACGTTCAGCTGGTGACTCGGGAGTCAGGACAGAGAAAATGTCAGGAGTTTGGAAGTATTATAAAATTGAAAGCGAAGGCAGTGTAACAGCCAGATGCAATGTTTGCAAGAAGGAGACTTTTAAAAGGAAAGAGAAACTGCCCCAGAACAGTGAAAGGCCAAAAAAACAACAGCCAAGATAGCTGAATTCATCGCATTGGATGACCAGCCGTTATCTGTTACCTCACATTTCAAATGACTGAAACCACATACTCATGTAGGCAAAACATTGACCAGGTTATTGACCATAACCTTTACTCGGTTTGAAATTGATTTGAAACACTGCCATTAAGAAGAAGAAGATCCTTTTATCTATCCCGCAGGGGAAATTCAGTTATTCACACACAACAATGCACACACACACAGTACACAGTACACAGTACCCATACACATAAGGTCTGAATACAAACACATGCATATTTTGCCATGGAGAGGTGTCAGAGCAGACAGGCTGCCTGTTTTCCTCCACCAGAGAGCAGTTGAGGTTCGGAGCCTTGCAGAACACACACGTGAACACACCTGTAACCAATGAGATCTCTTAGAATGCCGGGTAGGATCCAGGTCTGCTCCTGTGTTTGGACAGCTGTGTCCCACTTTGCACAGTCAGAGGAAGTCATGTATCTGATACTGTTAATACTATATGCTAATTGACAGTAAACACCAGAGGTCGCATTAACCGAATTTTTTTTTTTTTAACAATGACGGAAAAATCTGAAAGCCGTCCGTCATTTTGACAGATTAGAACAAACTCAGAACAGCGCCAAAGTTTCCCCGCAGCGGTGCTCCGGTGTTATGCCGTGTTATGCATGCCCGCCCAAAAGGAAATGATACCGTTTCCAAACCTAACTTTGCCGAACAGATCATTGAAATGTCTGCGAGTTTTTGATTTACGTTGACAGTTTTTGATGAACGTTGACAGTTCACAAGCGGGCTCTCTCCACCCACCCACCCGAAAATGTTACGATCCTGACGGACAGCGAAAAAGTCTCGCGCAACTTCTGGTAAACAAAACAATTGTTAAAAATTCCTCAAAGTTGATCATTTCAATTTATCGGATTAAGAAGATAAGATATACTTGATTAATCCGATTTGGGAAATGTGTTTGTCACAGCAGCATAGATAAGACACTGCCAATGAATTAGAGGTAAATAAAATGATTTAAAAAAACAACAATAAAGATATACATATCAGCAATAGAAGACTAACAAAATATGCAAAACAGTGAATATACACATATTAATAATGAAGGATGTATCTATAGAGTGTATATATATATTGAATAAACAATATAAATATACAGAATAATAGGCAGTGTACATACAGTAATGCTTGTCTAGCCTATCAAACTCCCAAAATGTAGACAACACATGAAATTACCGTTTCATTTTTCTTTAAAGAATATAACTCATCAGTGTTTACTGAAGCGAGGTATGTTAAAGATATGTTGTATTGGAAAGAATGAACACTTACAATTATGGATTGAATTTGGAAATTCTGTTAGATTAAAATGATATCTTGTAGGGGTGTAACGGTTCACAAACATTTCGGTTCGGTACGTACCTCGGTTTTTTGGTCACGGTTCGGTTCGGTACGTTTTCGGTACAGCAGAATTTTTTTTCACAAAACATATATATATATATATTTTTTATTATTATTAAACTGTGAATAATGTATTCACTCAAATAAATACAAAATATAATAAAATAAACATTAAGGTGCAGCATTTCAATGAACTGAAATAATCTGTATTTGAACTTTACTGTAGGCTACTAGTACTCACAAAACATAAACTATTAGTTTTGGGTTTTTAATTATTATTAAACTGTGAATATTCACTCAAATAAATACAAAATATAATAAAATAAACATTAAGGTGCAGCTTTTCGATTAACTGAAATAATCTGTATTTGACCTGTACTGAACTAGCACCTAAGCAGCCAGTTTGACATTATGACTTGCTTGTCATTGTATTTCCATGTTTTTTTAAAGAAAAATGAACTTGTCCACATTGCTTGCCGACAGGGCAGATCTGCTGGCACTAACAATGTCTCCTGCTGTGGAGAACACCCTCTCTAGGGACAGGTAGCAGATACAGCCAGGTAGCGCTTTGCTAACATGGCAACATAAGGATATTTGGCGTTTGTAACAGCTTTGACTCGGTCTGAACTCTCTGCGAGTGGTGGAGGCTTAAATGCTAGTGGGAGTTGGGTTTGCACTTCTGTCTTTTTTCTTTTGGTACCGGTGATATTCACGTTCGTGATGCCTTTTCAAGAGTGTGCAAGTTTGATGTATTGCCAGCCGCGTAACCCATTTTAGTTGAACAATGCCGACAAACAGCTTTGGTTCGGTCCACCTGTCTTTGTCCGTCATCCTTGTACGTAACTGCGAAACCAAAATGTTCCCAAACCGGAGACTTCAATGATGCTGGAGGATTTTCGAGCTCAACTTTATCTGCGTTCGCCATTAATTTTCGACAGTTCCTCAAATTACTGACTACATTTGAACGCATCCCTCTGACCAGTATTAGTATGCCTCTCATCCAATGAAATGACTTGCTCGCTCTATGACGCGTTGAACCCAATGTGAGCAAATTACTCTGAATGCTGCGACGCAGCACCTGAGATTGCTTCCAAAAAGTTGTTCACGTTCTCAATTTTTTACGTTTAACGTTATATTCGTTCGGTACACTTCGGTACACACCTGTACCGAACCGAAGGGCCCGTACCGAATAATTTCGGTACGGGTACGTGTACCGTTACACCCCTAATATCTTGTAAATGATTACTTGTACATTTTCTTAATAAATGTAGAGGTTTTTTTGATTTGCCCAAATAGTTTGTTAAGCAACAAAAATAAAGCTGCAACATTTATTTCTGTGAATAAAGCTTTGAACCTTTCAGTAAAGACCTGCCTATGTCCTCATGCTGATGAGCCTTTATTAAAGATGAAAGTGATTGTGGGTGTGTGTGTGTGCAGGATGAGGACACTCGGCGGGACTACGACTACATGCTGGACCACCCAGAGGAGTACTACCAGCACTACTACACCTACTACAGGAGGCAGCTCACCCCCAAGGTGGACGTGAGGATCGTCATCCTGGTCACCATCTGCGCCATCTCCATCTTCCAGGTACTAATCTTTTTTTATTTATTGAAAACTGATGAGTTAGTTTGGAACAGTGATGAATTGCTTCAAAACATATACAACAAGTGGAATTAACAGCTTGGTATAGAGGCGCAAAAGAAAAACGTAAGGAATGTTAACAACTCGCTTATAAAATAATAACAAATGAGAATCTACGTTTAATTCAGTATAAATGACTGTATTATAGTGGGGACTATAAGTTACATCAGTTCCTTAGATTCAGGTTTAAAAAGTTGTACAGAGAGTGACTCCCTCATGTAGAGGAAACTTCTGTGTAGCATGTGCAGTGGAGTCACCGACTCAGGAAGGAGACACGGGAAGAGTCGGAGCTTTGATGTCAAACCACTGTGATTTATTTGGAGTTCCTGGCTTGAGTATTCACATCATCAGTCACGGTGAGACTGCACGGGTGGGTTGCCACGTCAATTCTGCAGAGCCTCTCTCTTGCTAGCCCATTTAACTGGTTCCACAGAGAGTCATCAACATGTTTTGATAAGATAGCTTTAGATAGTTTGGGCACACTAAGTTACCAGCTTCCACCACTTATGGCCTTGGATATGTCATGCCCTGGAGTCCTCAGACAACAGAGAAGGAAGTGTCCCAGTGTACCCACAATACAGACCATCTGTGACCTAGTGTTGACCGGTCACAGAATGGGAACAATAACATTATTGGCTGAAGCAGCCTGTGTCCTTAAAGGAGGTCAACAGACGTCAAGGTTTGTCCTGTATGTCACATCTTGGCGTCTATGATAATTATTTCCCTAACACCTCATACATGCCTTTCGGAATTGCTGCAAAATCAAAAACACTTGGGTGGATGTTCAATAACATGTAATTGTAAAATTATTTTTTCTCCAGCTGTCTGCCTCTTTCAAAATAGCCCGAAAAAAAGATACCCAACTGCATGGCAAATACTTTGTCCATGAGTGTATAAGAAGTAGATTTCCTCCTCCAGTTCTACAGCTGGCACAGCAGCTACAACGAGGCCATCAACTACCTGGTGACGGTGCCCAAGTACCGGATCCAGGCCACGGAGATCGCCAAGCAGCAGGGGCTCCTCAACCGCAGCAAGGAGAAGGGCAAGAACCGGCGCTCCAAGGAGGAGATCCGGGAGCAGGAGGAGGAGGTGATCCGGGACATCATCAAGACCAAGATCGACATCAAGGGAGGCTACCAGAAGCCCAACCTGTCCGACATCCTGCTCTGCCAGATGGTGCTCTTCCCCTACTACCTGACCACCTACCTGAGCTGGTACGCCTCATGGATCTACCGCTTCACCCTCTGCAGGGAGGAGTACGGAGAGGAGGAGAAGGTCTACCTCATCAGGTCAGTGCTGGAGCTTCACCTCACACAGGATACACAGGGGAGTGGGGAGAGGTACTCAGAGCTGGTACTTTAGTAAAAGAAGAAGTACTCATATCTTGTAATTAAGTAAAAGTAGAAGTACTCAGATCTTTTACTTGAGTAAAAGTAGAAGTACCAGAATGTAGGAATACTCTGTTACAAGTAAAAGTCCTGCATTCAAAATATTACTCAAGTAAAAGTATAAGATAAGATAAGATAGTACTTTATTGATCCCAATTTGGCAAACGTTTTTGTTGCAGCAGCATAAAAAGACATGGCATTGGCATAGAAAATATACATGTTGAATTATTTTATATAATAATTATTATCATCAAAATATAGTTAAAGTACCAAAAGTAGTCATTGTGCAGATTGGTCCATTTCAGAATAATATACAGTGGAGGAAATAAGTATTTGATCCCCTGCCGATTTTTTAAGTTTACCCACTTAAAAAGAAATGAACAGTCTGTAATTGTAATGGTAGGTTTATATAAACAGTGAGAGAGAATATCAAAAAGAATATCCAGAAATGTACATCATTTAAGAGATAAAAATGGATTTGCATTTAATTGTGGGAAATAAGTATTTGATCCCCTTGCAACTAACAAGGATTCTGGCTCCCTCAGACCGGTACATACGTCCATTTCCTTTAGGAAAGTATTCCTAACATCAACTAGTTACCTGTATAAAAGACACCTGTCCACAGAATCAACCAATCAGATTCCAACCTCTCTACCATGGGCCAGACTAAAGAGCTGTCTAAGGACCTCAGGGACCAGACTGTAGACCTCCACCAGGCTGGGACTGGCTACAAGACCATCAGAGAGCAGCTCGGTGAGGAGGAGACAACTGTTGGTGCCATTATTCAGGAATGGAAGAAATACAAAATGAGCATCAGTTTGCAGGGGATCAAATACTTAGTTCCTCCACTGTATATGATATGTTTTATAATGATTGATCATGAAAGTGTTCTCAAAGCTGGTAAAGGTGCAGCTAGTTTGAATGACTTTGTATACTGCAGGGTAGCTGGTGGATTTACTCCAGGTGGAACTAAAGTCTGATTTAACACTTGATTATATTTCACATCATTCATCCACATCTGAGAAGTAACTAAAGGTATTAAATACATGTAGAGCAGGAAAAGTACACCATTTACCTCTGAATTGCAGTGGGGTAGACGTACACAGTAACATAACATTGAAATAAAGTACAAGTACCTCCAAATTGTACTTGAGCACAGTGCTTGATTAAATCTACTTAGTTACTTTACACCATTGAGTATAGTTCAGTGCGTACTCAGCCCTCACCTGGTCTCCTCAGGAGGAACATGAAGATGTCTCAGTCTCAGTTTGACAGTCTGGAGGAAAGCTCCAAGCAGACGTTCCTGGAGAAGCGGCTGTGGATCAAAGACAACTACGAGGTGCGTATCTGAAAACTGTCTGTTAGATCCTCAGCATCCTTTCTCCTTTTCTTTTTCTCTTCCTGTTCTCCTCTAGATTCTTGCAAACCTGTCAGTAAGAGTTATTAAGAGTATTGATCCTTATAGCGGCAAAAACTTCAGGAAATAAAACTGAAAATGAACTCAAAAACCTGCCACTGAGGCACCAGTTAGTAAATCTCACACAGTCCAACAGGAACATCACTTCGTATATTGATTAGCATGATCCAATATCAACAAAGACACTTAACAATGTTTTCACCTTTTCTTGTCCTGTAGCCTTTCCTATGGCTTTACTTGTTTCACCCTAGTAAACAATCATATGCCTATACTGGTGTGCCAAGTAAAGCATAAAACAACTACCTCAATTAACTTGGATTACACCAAAATAAAGGTAAATGAACAATAAACAACTAATTGAATAACATAAATCAATATAGCTCCAACTATAGAACTGTTTCCTCTTCAGAATCCTGCCAATATGTGACCCGCTCTATCGAAATCAGTCGGAAGTCGCAACGGCTCATTTCAAAATAAACGTGGATTTGCGTAAGAAACCATTTTTTCGGGGTTCGGGTGTTTTGTTTGATTTTAAATAAACAAAGTCTTGGCTTTCAGAATATTAAACTTGTTTCGGCAAATTCAGATGATAAATACAACTTTGAAGCTTCGGCATAATTACAAGCGGAGAACGGAGTAACTTAACGTCACAGCAGGCATAACAACAGCCGGTGTTTCTCGTGAGTGTTTTCCCCGGGAAACAAACGCAATATACACAAACGCAAAATTACACAAACACACACACGTATACACACACACACACACTCGCGAGCTTCCCCCAGACCAGTAATCCAAACGAAAATATCTTCCCTCCGTAGTATTTTGATCATTTGCTAATAACCAATCAGATCGATGGATTCCAGAGAAGAGGAAACTTTAAAGGCCTTTTTCTCAAAATGATGACTCGGTGACAGTCATTATATAATGTGACATATTTTGCTTAATATTTGGATTACAACAACAATCCTGATATCATTAGAAAGCTCGGAATCTCCTCTTTCCAACAGTGTATACAACTCAAAATGTGTCTTCGGGTCAATGCGACTGATTTCAATAGAGCAGGTCACTTATGTCAGTAAGAGTTTTGATCGTCTTTGAGTCGGACACGATGTGATTCAGTGTCTCTCTGAGAGTGGTCACATGATGTTTAATGTTAGATTATGGAATGGACCCACGCCAGGGGAAGAATAAACAGCTCTTGGCTTTTTTTTAAGACTGCCACTTTATGATGCAACTTCCTTCTTTTTGTGTATATGAATGGTATGTTGTACTGTGTGGGGAGTTTTATTTTATCTGATTTGCCAAAGACACATTTCATTATGTTAATGTAATGGACAATAACGTTTTCTGAGTCACTGATGGAATTACATGTGAGCGATTAATGTGTGTTTCCATAGTGAGGGTTCGCCTCATTTGCAGCACTTTAAGTGTGTGTGTGTGTGTGTGTGTGTGTGTGTGTGTGTGTGTGTGTGTGTGTGTGTGTGTGTCAGGTGCACCAGAAGCAGCAGGAGGAAGAGATGAAAGTGAAGATGGCGACCGACCCGAGGATGAAGAGGTACCGGCGCTGGATGAAGAACGAGGGGCCGGGCCGGCTGACGTTCATTGACGACTGAAGCCCCCCCCCCCGCTCTGTCTGTCACATACACACTGCCTCAGTGCCAACACACACGGAGCACACACACCGTGTGGTGTGCAGAAAGATCACCTATGCCTGTTTATAGAGAGATATTTTCATAGCCACTTCTGAGTGGAATAAACTGTGTGGGGGGCTTCAGATTTATCATTTTTTTCATCCTGCAATTTCCCCCCCCCAAATTCAATGTTATTGACATCTTTTGTTTTTGTCCTGCTGGTAAAAGCAGACGATGGATGCATTTTTGTACGACGGCTTTCTGCTCACTGACATCAAACAGCTGCGAGACGATAAGAGCCAGAACCACGAGGAAACCCTCTGAATGCCACCTGCTCACTCTCAAAGGGAGAGCAGTAGCATTTATTTCTCACATGATGAATGCACCAGGGCCAGGGAGTATTCTTGAAAACAGTGATGTTTGGTTAAATCCTCACTTTGTATTCCCTGTGTACCTGGATCTTAGCTCTGTCCAAAGTGAGAAAACACACCTTCAACAACGGCAAAGCTTTGTGTGTGTCATGCTCTTAACCTGTACTGAACACGTGTTAAAAAAGGTAACATGACTTGCTACAAGATACAAGAAGGAAGTGGTGAAGAGATGAAATGATATCCATCTTCTCACGTTGTTGACCACAGCAACATGAGCTGCAGATCCTCTGTTGGAACGTTGCTATCAGAACAAAATGTCTTACTGTGTAATGGAAGCCAAAGTCATAGCTGCCTGTTTGTGTAAACTGTGAATGGCAGATATTTATCACAAGCACTTTGGTATTGTGCTTTCTGCTGTTTCTACAGAAGTCCAACAGTTGGTTTTAAATGATGTTATTTATTGCCTCACATTTCTCTGTTCATTTGGGGTCTTTGGTGAATCATTCTGTAACTACACCCTCATACAGTCTGTGGTTTGAACAAAATGTAGTTTTTTAATAAATACATTTAAAAACAGTTTAATTGTTGCTGACTCCATCTTCTGAACAGCATCAGTGGTTGGGCTTGGTTTCCGTGACAACTTCACTGCTATATAAAACTGCTCATAATAACAAGATCTGTGCATTATCTTAAGATGCCAGAGGCCTGTACTACGAAGCCGGATGTTCGTTAGCGGGCTAACTTCAGGGGAAACTCTGGGTTTCCGGTCCTACGATGCTGGTTCACTTCTTACTGGGCTATATCTCCATGGTAACTTATGCTGAACGGAGCAGGTTTGTTTCCAGGATAAGAGAACAAGTCATATTACAGGATAAAGGGAATACAGAAAAACTGCCGTTGCAGGAAAGACGGCCAGCAAAGATCTGTGTGAACGTGAAAATGAATAGAATATCACCTCCCATCTTCAGAGCAATCTGACTATTATAACATTAGCGTTAAGAAAGCTTACTTAAATATCTGCCACAACATAAGTAACCGGATCAGAGTAACAATACTTACAGTCCGCGGCACTGTGTGTCCCATTATCATTAATATCACATCATAATGTAGGCCTATCATATTGTAGCCTTTATTTATCCAGTTAAAAAATCCCATTGAGATCAACGATCTCTTTTACAAGGGAGACCTGCCACACATTGGTTACACACAGAAAACAAAAAGGACACATACAACATGACAGGGGTACAATTTACAAACGTATTCACAAAGACAATGTAAGAGTCGGGGAGGGCTGATAATTTATTCCGGGAAATAACTCTGACCTACTAATTGACCTGACCGAAGTTATTGAGTCTATGTAAGTTTACTGCTTGGCTCAGATCCACCAAGGTCAGCAAGATCTCACCTCTATTAACTCCTGAAGAACCAGGTTCAATTAACTGCTGTTTCAATTCAGACAACTCTCTTAAATCTGTTTAAGCGATCCCGAAGGATTTTGATATCAGTAAATGAGGTGTGTTCCTATCCTAAGTGTGAGTGTGGCAGGGTGCAATCTTACCTTTGAAGCAGGAGAGGAGAGCGCAGATGTATTTTAAGTTGTCCCAGTCCAAAAGGTGGGATCAGTTTATTTGAAGAAAAATAGGTCCAAACTAATACAGGGTTTTTACCTTCTCTCTTTACAACATTATAATCATACTAAACCTATCATGCTGTGATCATGTTCTAATATGAAACTTTAAATTAGTTTTACATTTATTACCATAATTTGTAACTTCAACTGCCCAATTCAGTTGTGATATTTAAAATCTCCCGATATAATTTAGAGGCATTTCCTCATAAATGACCGGTGATAATAAAAAGCACATTCAACTTTTCATTCACCAAATCAATTCACATCAATTCCATACCTTTTTTCCGACACAGGTGGCGGGTACTAACATCCACAAACACATACCTATCTCCCGCATGTATTCGGAGGAAGATCCTCACAGGTGGCGGTTACTAATACTCACAAACACACTCCTATCCGACACAGATGGCGGGTACCAACATCCACAAACACATACCTATCTCCCGCAGGTATTCGAAGGAAGATCCTCACAGGTGGCGGTTACTAATACCCACAAACACACTTCAATTAATTCCACTCATTCAACAAAGTAATTTACTCAGCATTCAACCAAGACATTTGAGATATGTACCAAGTCTGAAAGAACCTTGCCGAGAGCTATTAACCCAGCTCTGAGGGACAGAGCTTACCAAGAGAGATCATACCAGGGGAACCCCCCCTCTCTCTCTCGCTCTCTCCCAAAAAGCCGGTGTCTTAATGCTCAACAACAGGATATAAAAACCTAAGACACCTCCTCCACACCCATATTTGTAGAAACCTGGGCATGGCCTCTGATGTACAGGACTGGACATATTCTATTGGCTATGGCATAAGACACACCTTCCCATGTTTGTGTAAAAAGGACATGACCAGGCATATTCTATGGCTATGACATAACCACCTTTTTGAGGCCTCAATATACACTGAACAAAAATATAAATATAACACTTTTGTTTTTGCTCCCATTTTTCATGAGATGAACTCAAAGATCTAAAACATTTTCTATATACACAAAATAACCATTTCTCTCAAATATTGTTCACAAATCTGAAATAATCTGTGATAGTGAGCACTTCTCCTTTGCCGAGATAATCCATCCCACCTCACAAGTGTGGCATATCAAGATGCTGATTAGACAGCATGATTATTGCACAGGTGTACCTTAGGCTGGCCACAATAAAAGGCCACTCTGAAACGTGCAGTTTTGCTTTATTGGGGGGGTCTGGGGGGGTCCGAAAACCAGTCAGTATCTGGTGTGACCACCATTTGCCTCACGCAGTGCATCACATCTCCTTCGCATAGAGTTGATCAGGTTGTTGATTGTGGCCTGTGGAATGTTGGTCCACTCCTCTTCAATGGCTGTGCCAAGTTGCTGGATATTGGCAGGAACTGGAACACGCTGTCGTATACGCCGATCCAGAGCATCCCAAACATGCTCAATGGGTGACATGTCCGGTGAGTATGCTGGCCATGCAAGAACTGGGATGTTTTCAGCCTCCAGGAATTGTGTATAGATCCTTGCAACATGGGGCTGTGCATTATCATGCTGCAACATGAGGTGATGGTCGTGAATGAATGGCACAACAATGGGCCTCAGGATCTCGTCACGGTATCTCTGTGCATTCACAATGCCATCAATAAAATGCACCTGTGTCCGTCGTCCATAACATACGCCTGCCCATACCATAACCCCACCACCACCATGGGCCACTCGATTCACAACATTGACATCAGAAAACCGCTCACCCACACGACGCCACACACGCTGTCTGCCATCTGCCCTGAACAGTGAAAACCGGGATTCATCCGTGAAGAGAACACCTCTCCAACGTGCCAGACGCCATCGAATGTGAGCATTTGCCCACTCAAGTCGGTTACGACGACGAACCGGAGTCAGGTCGAGACCCCGATGAGCACGACGAGCATGCAGATGAGCTTCCCTGAGACGGTTTCTGACAGTTTGTGCAGAAATTCTTTGGTTATGCAAACCGATTGTTGCAGCAGCTGTCCGAGTGGCTGGTCTCAGACGATCTTGGAGGTGAACATGCTGGATGTGGAGGTCCTGGGCTGGTGTGGTTACACGTGGTCTGCGGTTGTGAGGCCGGTTGGATGTACTGCCAAATTCTCTGAAACGCCTTTGGAGACGGCTTATGGTAGAGAAATGAACATTCAATTCACGGGCAACAGCTCTGGTGGACATTCCTGCTGTCAGCATGCCAATTGCACGCTCCCTCAAAACTTGCGACATCTGTGGCATTGTGCTGTGTGATAAAACTGAACATTTCAGAGTGGCCTTTTATTGTGGCCAGCCTAAGGCACACCTGTGCAATAATCATGCTGTCTAATCAGCATCTTGATATGCCACACATGTGAGGTGGGATGGATTATCTCGGCAAAGGAGAAGTGCTCACTATCACAGATTTTTTCAAATTTGTGAACAATATTTGAGAGAAATGGTTATTTTGTGTATATAGAAAATGTTTTAGATCTTTGAGTTCATCTCATGAAAAATGGGAGCAAAAACAAAAGTGTTGCATTTATATTTGTGTTCAGTGTGTTTCTCCTTAAAGAGCCTGTGACACGAGTTTCCCCCATCATCCAAACCCATCAATTTGAGTAAATATTGTCCCCTTGAAAACCGTTACTGAACTGATTTTGGATATTTGTACTTTGATAACCATTAATCTGCCCTTCAATGTTGACCATTTCCTGGATCTGCTCGGGGATTCTTCAAATCCCGCCAAATTACGTGTGACGTCATTGCAGGCACAGCGCTCCAGCTGCACCGTTCAGGATCCCAGCATCTGCATGTAAACGCACAATGGTGCACACAGCAGCAAGCTCAGACAGCTCAGACAGTTTCATTTTGAACGTGTCTGAGAGCTCATATGAGGCTGAAGGGTCGGTTTATGTTGTATCTGTTAGAAGTTTAGGAATTAGGTGCGTCAATATGGGCGATCATACGGTCATGTAGCCAGTGGTGGAATGGGACTAAAAATCATCCCGGGACTCTCGACCGGCCCACTTCAGTACCGCTAGTAAATTGTCAACGGGGGGAGTGGGGGATGTCAGGGGCGGCGGGTGCTGTAGATAGTAAATGTAAATATGTAAATATTTGTGTCACTGCATCCTGGTAAAAATACAAATATAATGCAATGTCTGTGTCTTTGACATTAGCGCTGCCAGCCACCTGTGCCCTGTACTACGAAGCCAGTTCAACAGACCCTGGATATGTTTGAGTAACAAACAAACTAACAACAACAAACTAACAAACGAGATCTCGCTAAGCGGTCCTACGACGCTGGTTATCAACTCGGTAAATCAAGCCAGGGTTTCTCTCACCAGCTGAGAGCGCGTTCACGTCTAAGACACGAGTGGATCTGACTTTAATTACATTTGACTGAGTGTTTCGTCAACATAATGTGTTGCTAAAAATAATACTTCTGCATACAGTATGTGACACTGTAAGTGTTGCACGGCCAGACACGGCAGATAAGGAAATATATGATATATTATGATATTATATGATCGATGATCTGATTGATGATGTAATATGAATGATAAGTGCGACACGTCGGCGTCTTCTCTGCATAGACCTACGGCAGTTTAAACTGTATTTCCTTTATCCTGTAATATGACTTGAGAGATTTAAACTCCGCACACTGAGTTGATCTCTTTTCTATAGACGCCGGAGGCGGGCAGCGTCAGGTAAAAAAAGTTATTTAGCCTTCCCAAACCTGAGCCTCACGCGCCGCCTATGGGGGATGTGCTAGTGACTTATCCGACCGGCCCACTTCGGTACCGGCCCATCGGGATTCGTCCCGATGGCCAGTCCGCGACTGCACCCAGCCCACGTAAACTGTCAACGGGAGGAGCCTCGCTGCGGGGAAACGGTGGACCTAGTGTCCCGATCGGAGTGGGAATAATAATAATAATAATCCGTGCATTTTATCCATTAATTTCCCCAA